TGGGTGTAGGACACTATAGTTCATTTATGTAAAGTGAGGATAGCAAAATACACTAAACTGTGATATATTATACCCAAAAATTCTTCATACAGTGGACTACCAGTAAAATTGATACAAATTTGGGACCAAAAATTATTCAGACCGAGTTTGGGAAAAAACTGAAGTTCAAGTTTGCTGTTTGCAGTTACAAATGCAATGAAAATATTGGTATCGGTACTCGGTACCGGCAAGTACCAAAAATAAAAGTATCGGTACTGCGAGTACTGGAAAAAGTGGTATCGGTGCATCCCTACATATTACTAAACAAAAATTAAGTTTTGATATATTTACATATCAAATATATTTTATATATTTCCTAATGATTTTTGGCATAAAAGAAAAATCAATAATTTTAACCCATACAATGTATTTTTGGCTGTTGCTACAAATATACCCCAGCGACTTGAGACTGGTTTTGTGGGCCAGGGTCACATATTAAGAATATTAAGCAGTCCCAACTGGTACACTCCCAAGGCCACAGCTATCAGCCTGAGTGTTTCCTGAGAACTCTGAAAGGCAGCATTTTGTGCTTTATACAGGACAGACTGATGCACTAAGATGGAGGGTTGCTTATATTGCATGAATGAGTGAGTGGCTGGAGCGCATCTGAGGCAATGGTATCCAATGGTATCCGCCTTCTAGAGTGGGGGAGACCGCCTCTATTTTGCCCACTTGAACGCCACTGGTGGGTGAATTTTCACCCCTGAGATTTCATAAGGCTTTAGTAGATTCAAGGAAGGAGGGGAACCCCCAAACCGTCAACTATGACGCAATGTCTCGTTCTCTCCTCTCAGGGAACCAAGGTCCTGACCAAGGTTCTGAGTTTTGTGAAATACCCTATTGAAATCTCTCTTTTTCATGCCCTTGTGTTCTATGTAGCAGCAGCGTGAAAGAATAACCGACCACAAAAAGAGACCGTACCCATCATGTTTACCCCGTTTATTTTCCTGTTTTTGCCAGTGTTTTGTTTTCTTTCATGGATCACTTTGCCGCCATCAACCTGCTCTGCCTGGAGCAGTGGAACCGTTCCCTCAAGGAGCACCTGAAACTATTTCTGGGTCTCGCACATCAGACCACCTTCCCGGACGACTACTTATGCAAGTTCCTACGCACTGGCCTCAACACCGCCACATGTGCACAGTTGTCCGGGGAAGACCCTCGAGGGAGAAGGCTCTCCCCTACGTGGAGTGGGTGCTGGTTTTATGCAGTTTATCCCTGACTGTCGCACCAGCGGACGACCACACTAGTCCCCACTCCCGACCCAAAACCCAGCCAACAATCACCCCGTTGCGCAAAGCGTCAGCCAGAGCCCACCGCAGACGGAGAGCCAAAGCCCGTGACGACCGATGAGGCATCGCCAGAGAGAGCGACAGAGCTGAGGATCGCCCCGGAGCCAGAGCCTCATTGATCGTCTGACCAGGTGCGAGAGGCAGCAACAACGCACACGTCAGTGGATAAAACAGTGGAGAGCAGGGGCACAGAGGAAAGCCCCGCCCACTGCACCACAGCTGAGGTTGAGCTGGATTCAGGAGGATCTAATAGACTTATTCTGATATGCCCAGTCTCCTGTATTCTTCTGAACTTCCTGTCAGTCCTGAATTGACCATGGAGGTCTGCAATGAACTGTTTGTCTACCCTGAACTGTCTGTCTGTCCTGCCATGACCACAGAGATTGTTCCCCTGTCCCTAGCATTCTCGGGTCTGCCAGTCTCCATCGGCGTCGTGGCTGGAGGATCCCTTGTCTCTGCCTCCAGCCTCTGAATCCTGGACTCCGCCTTGGCCCGTCAACCCGGTGGCTCCACCATGACTCCTAGCTCCCTACTCTCCACCGTGGCCCGTCAGTCCACCGGCTCTGCCAGGCTCCCTCGTCCCGTCCGGCTCTGCCTTGATCGGTCGTCGACCTGCCTTTGCCTCGGGACTACACTCCTCTGGCTTCGCCTCGTCCCTCCATCACTCTGGCTCCATTGGGCTCCTCCCTCCAGCTCCACTTTGGTCCTCTGTCACTCCGGCTTCACCACAGCCTTCCAGATACCCGCATGCGCCTTGGTCGCCTGAGCCATCTGCTCCGCCTTGGCTCTCTGGATCCTCTCTGTCGCCCTGGCTCTATGGCTCTCCGTCTTCGCCTTGGCCTCCTCTCCCACCTGCTTCGCCAGCATCAGTCAGCCCCCTGGAGTCATCAGCCCTTCCTCCACCATGGCTCCTCTCTCCGTCGGCTCCACCGTGGGTCGTCTTCCTGGCTGGGCTCTGGACCATCTCCCGTCTCCTCCTGCTTCGGGCTCCTCCCTCCATCTATTCCACCTTGGCTCCTCCCTCCGTCATCGCCGCCCTGGTTGTCTGCCTGCCTTTCTGCCAGCCCTTTGCCATCCCTTGTTGCCATCCCTCCACTGTCTCCTCACCCTTTTCTTCTCTGTGGCGCGAGATCACGTCTTCCAGGAGGGGGCGATCTTTCACACCATCACCCTGTTTGGACTTTGGTTACCTGTTTTGTTCTTTGACCTAGTTTCTGTCTCCTCTTTGATTACGCTAGTTAGTTCACCTGTGTCTTGTTAATTATCCTCATTTGCCTGTGTATTTAAGTTCCTGTCTGTTCAGTTTGAGTTGGTTGGTTATTGTTTGAACATTGCGTTGACGGTTTGTGGATTACCTATTCTTCTGAGTTTTGTGAAATAAATAACCTATTGGAATCTCTCGTCTTTGAGCGCTTGTCTTCTATGTAGCAGCAGTGTGACAGACAAAGGCGACAGTGGCAAGGAAACAAAACACCATTGGTGATAGAAATGGAGAAAAAAAAAAACTTGTAAGAAACCAGACTCAGTCTGTACAACATTTGAACTTCTTGTACATGTTAGTAGATACAATGTTATGTTGTAAGTCACTCAGTTGACATTTTTGTTCATTAGAGCTAATTTTATTTTGTTGTGTGTTGGTTTTAAATGTAAAACTTGATGAAATTAAATCAGTGTGTTCATCAGTGTGTAACAATACAATGATAATATTAATAACTTTTCTACTGATAATCATTTTGAAGTGTTTGAGTTTTTATTTATATTTACACTGTATAGTCGGTAACATAAAATTAATAATATATTTTTAAAAAACATGAATAGAAATGTGAGAACCAACAGTGCACTTAGTAATCTGGTAATTGTCATGGAGTCACCAGCCACGCAAGATCCTGCAGCTCCCCCCACTCATTCACAATCCCTGGAATTCTGATTCACTATACCTGCCTAAACTAACCAAGTCACTCTTTATAAGCCCTCACTGTACACTCCTCCTTTGTCTGGTCTTGTTGTTACTTCCATGCAACTTACTTGGCTACCTACCCGCTCTACTTACCATCTCTTATATCTGACACATAGTCCAACAACCTCTTATTTTTGACCAAAATAATCAAAATTAACCATTTAGCCTTTATCTTGCAGCCCTAAGTAACAATGAGATGTTATTGACAGATCTACAAAAGGCAGCAATGTCATTATTCAGCGCGAGTCAGTTGGACACAATTGGAGATCATTAACAGTGTAATGTAAAGCAGCTCTACAGAAGACAACAGTGCCAATTCCGCTTAATTCAGTTTACATTTGGTTCTAATCTGATGGTGTTGGTGCGGTCATATATATGAATTTTGTATAGTCATATCAAAGTGTATAAGCCACTATATAAACTACAATGGTTAAAATACTCACGGAAGACATTAGATGTTATTCAAATAAATCTATACAGCAAACTCAACAGATTTTGTGAGGAAATCATAATAATACATCAGTCACTTTTAATGAGAGTTCAATGTTTTTCCACTGGCAACCAAATTATTTGGAAATATTTATAGAACTCCACTGTTCAAGTAACATATTGCAATGTAAGAAATTATAGCAAAAATACAGCGTTTCTAAGTAAACAAGAACATGGGCATACACATACACACAATCACAGTGTAATGAGTGGTTGATCTTACTTGTTAGAGCGTGCAGAGGTGTCTTGTAGATCTCCAGGATCAAATAGCTGAGAGCTCTTCAAACCTAACTCCAAACAACCCTTCAGGAAGAGCGCCACATTATCCTAAACACACACAAACACACATGTGAGTGAATCCTGCATGAACACAGCGTCAAGACTAACTACACACACATACATTAAAGAGCAGAAGGGGAGGCAAACAGACACTTTTGGTTTTGGTCATCCACTGCCTGTGTCTCTCTTTCTAGCAATTTCTGCAAGTTTATAATGTTAAACGCATACTCTACCTCAGGCACAGGACTGCCTCTCTCTCCTTCAGGTGGCTCTGTGCCTTTTGTTGAAACGTGCAACCTGATCTCTGTTATTTGCTACTCTCTGGTTCCCAGCTCCAATGAAAGGCCCCTGATCCCTCCCTTCAGTTTCTCTCTCTCTCTCCAGCGGACCTGGAAGGGTGGCACAGTTTCCTGTCCCTAGTGATTGTTGTTCCTCTGTTGTTTTGGAGGGACACAACTTTTTGTCTCACGCCCATGTGCGAGAGTGAGAGAGAGAGAGAAAGAGAGAAAGCCCTCCCCCTAGAACTGAACCGGCCCTTTCTGACAATACACAATAATAACATACAAATAACAAGGCAACATTTCTATGTTGTTGCAATATACTGAAGAAGTCTGCAGTACCGCTCATCAGTTTGAGTCAAGATTTCATCAGCTGAACCCATAATTATTTACTGATATATTCATTTCTTGCAACATATTCAATTCAGTGGGTCCAAAGTTCTGAAACAACATTAAAAATATATGTGAGTTTAATTTAAACTTGAAAATAAACTAAGTTTTAAGATTTTTTTTACATTTTAAAATAAAGAATTATCATGTACAAGTAATAATAAATATTTCAGGTTCTGGACTTTTTCTAAGTGACTAATCAAATAAGTAAACTGATCATGTGACTGTTTCTCCAGATGGTTAAATGCTCTTTGGATCAGTCGCAAATCACACACAAGAACATGATCATCAGGTTTTGTTCATATCAACTCGACTGTTGCTGTCATCACAACAAAAGTGGGTTACCAAATACTGTGTTTGTTTGTAGGGCTGGACAATTAAAAAATAAAATAAAATAGAATACATATCAATATGATGACAGAAAGAAAGAAAGAAAGAAAGAATGAATGAAAAAAAGAAAGAAAGAAAATATTAATAACTTTATTTAACAGTAGAACTTTAAAATTGCAATACTAATATTTACGGATGTCTTAATTTTCTGATTTTCAAGAGTTAAACCATCAAGCTTTTATTTTTAGTGGAAAACCACAGGGAGCCCTTAAAGCTTCTCTTTTGGTGACAACAGCTAGTTATAAATGCTTCTCATTTTAAGTATGGGAAGATGGTTTGCACATGTAGCATTTTCAAAAGAACATTAAAAGTGACACAAACTCAGAGCACAAACAGAGAATGTTTATTATTATTATTATTATTATTTTATTCAGTTTCACTGAAGTTCACCCCTGCAGTATAATGACAAATCTCCAAATGTTTGCTAAACCACAGTTGGGACTCGGGAAACCCTCTATTAGACCCTAAGACCCAAGTAAATGTACTTCACCTCAAAAGTCTATAAAGGTTCCTTCATTCTATCAATATGACTCAAGACAATGGCAATTCAAACATTTTCTTAATTTTTCTTAATTTATTTAGTGTCACCTCCTCAACATACTCAGTTGAATTACACTAGCTGTGAAATATTGCCCCCTGCTGACCAGGAGGTCATGGTGCAGAACAGCTGATTACAAGATTTTCACCTTTGGGTTTAAACTGAATACGCAGTTAGGTTCTGTACAAAATAAAATGTTTCATTTCTCTTTCACTTCACTTCTTTGCCCAACAGAAAAAAAAAACTTGAAAATGCTGACATATTTCAAAAACATCAGACAGACCCATTGATTAATGAACACAGATCCCTGCTCTACTAATGCCTTGTACTTACTGTCATCATTAGGGATCTAGGAATCACCTTAGTCTTGCACACAGACATTTCACTATCATCATGAGTTTATTTGTTTTTGTGAAAAACTGTATTTGAACAATAAATCATGTAATTTTATATTTTAAAAAAGTTACCAGAAACATTTCCCTACCCCACTCATACACTGTTCATTTTTATTTGTGCAGATCTTAAAAAGGGTCATAAAAAGCCTTAAATTGATATATATATATATATATATATAT